TATATATATATATATATATATACGCATATACGCATATACGCATGTAAATATGTACATCAAATTTGTACAAGTTACAGGAGACTGCCATACTTCGCGTGTGACGGCTTCTTTCCCACGGTGCATGTAAAGACGTGGGGCTCCTTCAACCGCTGCAGACACAGCAGCAGTAGCGGCAACAGCAGCAAAAGCAGAGGACATAAGGACTGTTCTTGCTTTGTGCGTGTATGCATGTATTCTTGTATGCATGCGTGTATGTTTCTATGTGTCCACGTACGTATCTGTATACTTATCTATAAATCTGTGCTCTGTGTGTGCATCTATGTATCGGTGTATGTATCTATGTACCTGTGTATGTATCTATGTATATGGGTAGATATATGGTATGTAAATGTACCTATGTACCTGTATCTGTGTGCGTCCATGCCTCTGTGTGTATAGGCATAGACGCATCTATTTGTAAGGATGTACGTATGAATGTATGTATGCACGTTTGTACGGTGTATATACGAATGCACATATGTATGTATATATGCATATATGTATGGTTGCGTGGGTGCACGATGCTTGTTTGTGTGTGCTTTTCTGATGGAAGAGAGCACACAAAAGGAGATGAAAGCTGCAAATCCAGCGGTGAGAAGGAGCAACAAGCGGCGAAAACGGCGAAAAAGACAGGAAAAGGAGACAAAGGGGGTGAGAGAAGCCAGTGGTGACAAAGTAGAGAAGGAAGGAAACAAAAACGAGGCAACAAGCAACTGAAATGACAGAAATAGACACAGATATATGGGCGAAACGAAGCAACACAAAACGAACCGCTTTCCCTGGCGTATGGGTCGGGGGCCCTTGGCGCTCAGCAGCATCGGAGGCGATGTTCAGAGTCCCGTCATCAGACTGCAAAACGTAAACATTAGCCGAAAAAGCACCAAAAATAATCACCGGACGAAAAAGGGCGGAAAACAATACAAGCATAACAGAGACAAGAAATAATACAAAAGCAACAAACAATACAAACAATGCACACAATACACATGGAAACAAATTAAGGATACAGGTAGGAAGGGATAGCGACGAAAGCAGAGAGAGACTGGCACAGACACAAAAGAAAACCAAAAACACGGAGGAGAAAAAGAGGAAAAAAACCGAGGGCACAGCCCGCTCTCGAGAAGGTGCTCTCGAGAATGAGCGACACCATCCAACGACGAGAGGCAACAGAAAGAAAACGAACACAAACAAAACAGAAACAGACAGAAAGGGCGAACAAGAAACAAAACAAAAACAGAACAGATGCACGCGAAGCAGAACCAACGTAAAAGGGAACAACCAAAGAAAAGCTAGACAAACTCAATCAGTCCAGGGACGCAGGAAAGAGGAAAGCAAGCCAAGAAGGGAACTGACAGAAACGGAGCCTCTTTGTAGCTGATGCGAGGTCGGCCTCTGTTCTCTGCCTGTGTGGGTAATGAGCGAAGAAGAGTTTGGCCCCTGGCGGTTCGGAAGACACCTGCCGTCGCCTGAAGTCCAGCTGTTTATCACTGCAAACATGTCCTCGTCGCTCCTGCAATTGTACAATTCAGCAAGAAAAGCTTTATGATAATTCCCCCCGAGTGTTTGCACATTTCCTTTTCCGATTCTTTTCCCTCTAAAAGGACTATATATATATATATATATATATGGTTTTACAACATACGTGCACCTGCCTACATATAAACATATATAAAGATGTACGCATCCGCATAACACATAAATCTATGCCCGCGCGCAACCAGATGCAGCAGCAACAGCTGCTGTTGCGCCCCATGCTGTTGCAGCAACCACTGCAACACGAGTAACCGCTGTTGCAACAGTACTAACCAATCCAACATGGCAACAGCTGCAAAACTAACAGCTGCCCCAGCAACAGCAGCAACCGGTACAGCAGAGCAACTGCTGCAATGGCTGCAACAACACAAACTGCAGCGGCAACAGCAACAGCAAGAGCACCAACAGAGGCAACAGTCTGGGAAACAGCAGTGTGATCGTGGGTTCGTGTACCGGTCATCCCCAATGCAGAAGACAAAGTCGATGTCCCCGTGAAGAGTTGAAAGCGTTTGCAAGATTCTTTCGACTGCCTTCCCTTTGTTGACCCCCAGCAACTTAACTTCCACATACCCCTTCCCGCTCACCACCGTCACAGGGTAACCAAACAGCAACTCGCTGCACACACAGCAGTAAACATTACAACAACAGCTGAAACAAGAGCAGCAGCATGGCGCGCAACGGCAGCGGCAAGACCCTCAGCAAAAAGCAGCAGCATAACATACACTGCTACCCCCCGTGCAGGCTTTGGCCCCACAAGCCACTAAACCCAGCCACTGACTCCAACCCGTAAACGCTAAGACGTCATACACCCGTATTCCCTGCGCCTTGCCTGTCTGTTAGCTACAGCCAACTAAGGCACTCATGCAACTAGGGTTTTTAATATGTGGTTTAGGGCTTAGGGTGTGTGGTTTTGGATTTAGCCTCCTCTATATGGTGTTCGTGTGCGGCGTGGCAAAGGCGGTCGCCGTTGTGTTGTGGGTATTCTGGGGTTTACGGTTTCGATTTTAGGGTTGGGGATTTACCTGAGGTGGCTGGAGAGGTCTTTTGCCTGCAGCTGACCGAAGTCGGGGTCTGCATCTCTGTACTGAAATACCAATGCGCTCCCCTGAGATGTGCATAAATGGCAAACATAGGAAGTATACAATAATTGTTATTGGTGCTATTTTCAAAATAAGCGACAGCAGTGCATAGGGAGGAGAACACCCAGCAACTATACCCCAAACTAGGAAAAGTGAAGAGCTAGGGTTTAGGATTTGAATTCAAAGTTTAGGGCACGGGAATTTCCTGTTTTGGGTTTCAGAGAAAAATGAACTGCTTAGCGTAGTACTGATTCCTAGGGTAACGACAGCTCCTGCAGTTCGAGGTTAGGGTTTAGGGTCTGGTCGGACTTTGTTTTCGATGAAGGAGCCCTGAGTTCTTTTGACATATTGCAGCATCAGCTCAACAGCCACAGACTTCCACGTGAAATCTGCGTCCGGGCACATGCAGCCCCATTCGTCCCCTGTCAGCTTGTCGAGGCGGTAGTAGTAGCCTGCAACGGCAAAACCAACGCAGCATCTAAAAGCAGCACTGCAGCATGCAGCCGCTGCAACATAGCCCCTCGCCTGCACACCATCTGCATGCAGAGTGCTGAGTGTATGCATGCATGCACGCACGGAAAGAGAATTCATGCATATAATGCCTCAAAAGAGTGCATATATGTGAGTACCATGCAAACATGCACCGTGCATGCATGCAAAGTCTCGGGAGGGCCTTACCGTGTTCAGCACACAAGCCGATGCCTTTGACGTCTCTAAACCAGTCTTCTAGTAGACTCCTATCTCTTCCACTTAATATAACGACAGTGTTTTTGGGATTTTGCAAGAGAGCCTTCAAGCAACGCTGAACTTGGCCTGAAGGAGGCCGGCCAGCAGCAAACAACTCCTCTCCGTTCTTCTGCCTAGAACGGCACAACACACGCTTGGCAGACAAAATTCAAATAGAGCAACAGGGGAAAATGTACGCTCACTCGAGGACAGCCAGAGGGCCAGTGCGGTATCAAGGGGGTGAGACAGCGAACAGAAGAAACGGAGAGAACGTGCGAGAGCTACAGAGCGAGAGAGAGCGGAAGAGAGAGAGAAAGCGAGAGCGACAGAGAGCGAGGGGACACGAGCAAGAACGAGAGCGAGAAGCAGCGCCACTACAGAGCCCTAACCCATAAACCCTAGGCCCCTGAAGGCAAACCATTAATCCAACGTCCTTGAGAATCCAAAATCATTGCGAACCGACACAAAAGAAGAGCACAAGATCATCGTAGCGCACGACTCCTCGCACCCAGTGCTGCTTCCAGCCTAAGCCATGTACCACAAACCCCAGCTCACATCATGGCCAGCCGCCTTTGGTCGGGAGCCAAAGTCCCTTCGCAGTCGAAGAAGAAAACGCGATGGCGAGAATTCCGAAAGGCAGTCATCACCAGCGAGGTGTCCAGGTACCTGCAAGTATGCCTCAATCCCTAACCCCCAAACCCTAAATACTAGAGCGCGCTGGTAGCATCGTTCGGGTGGTGTTTGTCAGTCCCATAAAATGAAACCTCTGACAGCTAAGCCCTCAAGCCAAAACTTAAACTCTAAACCGTAAACCCTCAAGGTTGCGTGCCTGAAGTGGGAATCCATGCCCATCATTCTGTAGGTGTTGCCCAGTCCCATAGAGGAATACACGAGGTCAGCACTCTTTCTGGCTCTTGCAAGGTCAAGTACAAATTCTTCCGCCCAGTTTAAAGTATTGTTGTGCTGCAAGTGGGTTTGGTCTCTCCCCACTGCCACCTGCATCGTCTCCCGTCCAGAGACAGCCGCGTCCATCGCAGCGGCCATCGCGTCGCACTGCACACATCACCCGCGCACCCAACAACCATGCATGCACCCAAGCAACCATGCAGATATTCAGCAAAGCACGCATGCAACCATGCATGCATGCAACCATGCAACAGTGTAGGCGAGCGTTCAACACTGAATAGATGGATGTTGCAATGCATGCGAAAATGCATGCACGCATGCACTAGCCCCCCCCGAGCCCGAGTGGAACGACACACAGCGCAGAGTGCCCCTAACCTCGTCAGATCCTAGTGGAAAACGTAAAATTCAGCGTAAATTAAAAGTGTCAAATACAAGGTGGGAATGAGGCACTTCAAACAGAAGAGGGCGTCATCAGTAAAAGAAATGGGACAGTCTACAAAGCGGCATGCATTGTAAGCAAAACTACCAAAATGAGGCCGGAAGCGACAGTTCGATAACAAGGAGACAGGTTAAACAGGAGGAGACACATGAAAGAAACGAAGGCAAAGGAAATGACACGGCGTTCATACAATTGGACAGTTGCTTAAGTGGGGAGGGCTAGGCAGCTAGAACGCAGAAACTATGAGCAGGATGAGACAACCGGATAAAAGGGGCACCATAGGAGCAACAGGAGACAGTTCAAGAGGGCAACATTTGAGCAGAAAGAGACAGTTGACTTATTTACATTCCACGGGTTGACCCGAATGGGGGAGGCGAGGGCCCTAGAGCAGCCGGTGAACTCCGAGAGGATTGCTGCAGTAGGTCTTAAGTCGTTGCGGCAGCATAAATATTCAAAGGGATTCAGGTTTAAACCTTCCCTGATGCAGCTGTCGAGTAAGCAGTCGGCAGCTGTAAACAAACTGCAGCGCTCATGCCACTCCACCTCCTTGATCAGCAGTTCGATGTGGTCTCCCCGGCCTTCAGAAAAACACCGCACGCAACAGGAAATGGATGACAACTACGAAGTTCCACGCACACAAACATAGAGCAATATGTACGAATATGCACCATTTCGCTATAGTTTGAGGGGTTTTATATCAACAGTATCTTTATGAACTCCCTATGAGCTGTCAGCAGCGATTAGCTATTGTGAAGCGACCACGGTGACTTCCTAACATGCTTCTACACTAATCCATTGATCAAATGAATTAATAGGTCCCGAAGGACCACTTTAGTACTTCGAATGAAGCACAACCCACCAAGGGCACTGTACTTTGCGTTGACTTCTTCAACTTGTCGCTGCAGCCGCGACGCCAACGCAGCAGCATCCGAGCGGCCCCAACTACGGACAGGATATGCGTATTGTATCAAAACAACTTCTCCCTGAACCACGACAAGTAAAGAACTAAACACAACTCAATACTATCACCACCGTCCACCGATACCTATCACCTACAGAATCCATGCAAAGAAAAAATAAAATCCAATTATATAATATTGGTAAGCAGCATAAATACAAAACAATCAACCGTTGCGCCTTTGTTTATGCAAAAACCAGTCCCCCCAGTAAATGTAGAGCAGTACAACAACTAAAAGCCAGGAGAACAGCAAGAAGAAAAGGATACGACCCGGTGGTTACCCTTGCATATTCATAGCATTCAAGAAATCGCTCAAATGCCGCTATTTTAAGCTGAAGCCCTGCTAAGGGTTCGCAGCGGTCAACAGATCCAAAGATAAACTTTCCAGGATGTCGGCTCCTACACGCAACCAAACACAGCAACTCACAGCAAATAGACCAAACTAAACACGAACTGCAGCGGGCAAGGGGAAACGTGAGCGAGGAGCATAACCAGAACAAGCAGAAGAAGCACCCGCAGCAGCAGGAACAGAAACAAACAGCAACTGTAGCCATAACATAAGCAGCTGCAGGCACCATAAAAGCAGCAACATCAGCGGTAGAAACAAACACAACAGCACTAGGAACAACAGAACTGGAAGTAAGGAAAGCAGACGATGTAGCAGCAGCCGGAACAGAAGTAACAGGAGCAGCAGGAGCAGTGACGGAGACGGGAAGAGCAACAGCGTCAGCAGGAACACGAGAAGCAGCAGCTGCAGTAGGGACGGAATTTGCAGCAACAATGATGTCGCTTCTGCCGGTTTTGTTCTCAAAAGAAACAAGAACAGCACGAGAAACAGCAGCAGCAGCAGGCAGAGAAGGAACCAGAGGAGGAGCAGCCGCAGGAGCAGCTGGACGAGGAGCAGTAAGTGTGACCGCTGACCGAATGGCTTCTGCTGCAGCGCTGCAGTTTGCATCGAGAAGAGCTTGTTGGAGGTTATTGTACATGATATGAACATGCCCTACTCTGACAAAAACGCTTCTGCCTCCAAAGTCAATAGCAAGGAGACCGCCTCTTCTGAAGGAGAACTCTAAACCCAACAGACGGCGGCAAGTGACCAGGAAATGCCGTGCATACTCGAAGAAGTGGAATCCTATCAAGTCCGCGCAGAGCATCCCACGCAGAATCTGAATACAAGAGAGAGTAAACAGAAAAACAATTTCTTCGTTTTCGCCTCTGTCTTTAGCTGTGCCTTCGGCTCCCTCGTGGTCTTGCGTTATTCAAAGGCACAAAGTGGAACCACAACAAGAACAAGAACAAAAACAACACTAACGACCGAAGCACGAAGAGGGACAAAGACAAAGAAGGCAGAATGGAGGGAAAGGGAGCCAAGCGTCACCTCTTCTCTGTAGGGGAGGCACCTGAAGATTTCGCTGGAGGGGAAGGGCACATGCAAAAAGAGGCCGATGTTGGCAGTTCTGTTTCTCCTTGTGATATACATTGGAGCAATAAGGAGTTGGAAGTCATGAATCCAAACAATGTCCGTTTCATGCATTTGCAGGGTGACTTGAGAAGCAAAGAGCTTGTTGATAAATAAGTAAGAACCCCAGAGCTGCTCGCTGCTTAGCTGCTGCTGCTGCTGCTGCTGCTCCGTCGACAGTACGTTATGGAGGAGCGGCCGCAGCACAAAGTCACAGAAGGAGAAACACTCTTGCATTTCTTTCTCCGGGCAAAAGATAGGATAGCAGCTGAACCCCTGCAACAGTTCTCGGATTTCTTCTTCTTCTTCTGCATCAGCAGGGAACACCCCGGGAAACCCAAAGAAAGAAACTGCTAACTTTGTCTTCCCCCTCAAGTGCAGCAAAGAAGGCAGCAGAGTGCACTTCGAAGGCCGTAGCTCAAACCTTCCTCTGCTGCTCCGCAGGAAGGGCACCAGCGCTCCGCTACCGTCCCGCTGCTGCGGCACCGGCCCTCCTCCAGCTGCTGCTGCTCCTGCCACTGCACCTGCTCCTGCTCCTGCTGCTCCTCCTGCCGGTGTTCCTGAGGCTGCTGCTGCCGCTGCACCTGCCGCTCCTGCCTCTTCTGGTGCTGCAGATGGTGTTGGGGGTGACGACGGGGCGCCTTCTGCGGCCGCCGACGGCTCTGCTCCTGCTGTACCTGCTGCTGCGGCGCCAGCAGCGGCAGCAGCAGCAGCTATTGCTGCTGCTTCGGAGGCACTATTCTGGTGGGTAGCCACCCGCACGACCCGCAACGGGAGCTCAAGAGAAACCACAACTAAGGAATCATTCTCGTCAATCTCTGCAAAACCTTCTTTAGCTGATAACAGCCGCTCCCTCAAGTCAGCGGCACCCTGAGGCATGTCCTCCCGTTTCTCCTGTGTTAGCACACAACCCTTGACCCTTAAACCCTAAGAGGCTAACACCCTAATTCTTAAACCGTAAGCCCCAAAGCCTCCACCCCAGAGGATCAGTCCTAAAAGTCCAAACCCGGAGTTCTAGACACTCCAAAAGGCGACAAAGGTAAAATAGGGCATTCAACAAATACGCGAAGTGTATTTAATGCAATCCCTCTAACAACAACTGTAACACCAGCACAATAGTACTCCAGCGACAGCAGCAAATGCAGCAGCACCTGGACATGTTCCACATGTTCCCCTACCCCTAATCTCCCCATAGCATGCATGCACTAGCATAATCACAAACTCTGAGACATAAACTCCAAACCCTAAGCCCTGATCTCAGAGGTTCAAACCGTAAACCCTGTTCAATAGACCCTAAACCCTGAACCCATAAACCCCTGACTTGAACCCTGATCCCTAAGTCTCAGGCCTTTAATCCCGACCCATACCCACCAAACACTAACCTGAGTTTCTGGAGCAGCATCCCCTGTTAGGTCGCAAGAGGTTTTGCTGCGGATGAACCCGTTGTCATCTTCGACCAACATCTCAACTCCTGTTGGGGTTAATTCGCGGTTGCCTTCAATCTCCTCCCACCTAAACTCACACACGAAAAAGGTTTGAGGTTGATGGGCTTGGACTAAGATTAAGAGGAGAGCAAAGGCTCAGGCACCAACAATGAAAGCACGAGTCACAATGTACAGCCCAACCCCTTAGCACTAGAGTCACATAAAAAAATAAACCCTTTATAACTATTCAACCACACAGCCGTAAACCATAAACTCTCAAGACTCAACAAGGAGTTCTGTGAAATTCTGGACATCGTAAACCCTAATCATCGACAAAGAGCACAGTAGGCCCTAAACGATAAACCCTTGAAACTCAACAAACAATAAAGGCGCTCTCCAGCGGCATGCATCTGGCCGTCACCCAGATCCCTTCACCCCACGGCGCACACCCAAAACCCTAAACCCCAAATCCTAAGTCCTCCGTGTGTAGTGTTTCACCTGACGATCTCATTTCTGTCGTTGAGAATAACATATTTATACGCCACCTTCTTCTTTAGGGGCAGCATCGCCGGCTTCTTGCTGAACCAGGCGGGGACAACATCTTCGTTCGTCACCAGCTCGTGGCAACGCGCAACCTGTGCCCAATAAGCCATAAACCCTATGCCCTAAACCCTAAAACTTATCCGTATTCATAGACCCCGAATGACAACCCCCAATGCACACCCATCACCAAACCACAGTCTTCCAACATTAATCATTACGTCCAAACCTCAGTGAACAATAACAATCACTAAACAGGAATTCAGTCCTAATCAAAGGGATCCAATTCACGAATCTTCATGAACCCCAATCAATACACGCCATAAAACATTAGCAAAACCTACAAGCGAACAGTTAAGGCACCAGCAACAGCACACCTACTCCCCAACCCTAAACTTCGAAACGGCTAGATTCTGCAGTGCGACGCGCGACTACTAAACCTTATAAAGAGCCGTTCGACAGCAAGCTCTTAAAACAAGTACAAACTTCTAGGCCTTCTCTCCCGAACTGCATCCCCTAAAGCGTCACGGGCGCGGGCTTACACCTCCCCTCAGTGTGGAGGGTTTTGATTTTACTACAAAATGCTGGGGTTTACAGCTCACCTGCCAGTTGCCCAGTTGCGACTCTGAGCCAACAACCGCCACCTTTTCGCCAAACTCCGTGGGGATCACCACACGGAAGAAAGTCCGTGTGTAAAGAGCCCTCATTTTCTACGGTTTTGGAGTTTACGTGGGTCCACGAGGGTTCAATACGGTTTAGGGCTTATTAGGGTTTATTTGCGCTTATTATGGTTTAGGGCCGATGGAGTCCAACCCAGGGCCAACCCCACATTTCCTCTTCACCCTCCCCCTGCACCGAACACCGCAGCAGCAGCTCCTACTAACCCGAAACCCTAACCCCTCAACTCAAAACCTCAGCCCCTAGAGCCTCTCTGCAAAACTCTTAAGGATTTTGAAGCTATATAAGCAGCTGTCTTCAGAAGTTGTGGAGGAAGTTCAGCAAAGAGCAGGAACCCCACTGACACATGGGGGCCCCCAGGGGCCCCTTCAGATAGCGTGGGGGCCCTCAACGGGGTATTGAGAGGGGCTCCGATCTTAACGAGTAAAATGCAGCAAAAAATGACACCATGCGTGCGCTGTATTCGTCGCTGACGCTGCTGCTGCTACTGCTGCTGCTCTTGCTCCTGTGCTGCTCCTGTTGATGCTGCTGCGCCGGGGGCCCCTGTGTTAAGCCAGCTCGTGAACCACCTCTGGGAGCTTTTTGGATTAGAAAAGATGTCAGTGAGACTCCCGTGTCTAGGGTTTAGGTTTTAAGGTTTGGAAGGGGGTTTAGGACCTCTATAGCTGCAACACACCGGGTAGAGAGGACGACGCGCTGGCGCACAGGGCGTAGAGGTTTAAACAGCTGCCTGGGGGTTGTGTTGCTGTGTACGTACACTGCAGCAGCAAAATAAATTATAAATAAATTATAACAAAGAAGACGATAACCAAAAGAAGGGAAGAAATGGAAACGGCAAGACTCGCGGCATGCGCCTTCCAGCAGCGGCTACCGTTGGCTGATGTGTCGGGACCGCCAAACCCTTACCCCATATTGTAAACTCTAAACAGTAGACCATAAACCCTAAGATAAGATTGTATGATAGCACATTTGACCCTTAATTGTCTATTTTTGTTTCATAAGAGACGCTTGACTCTCGTTTCCCCCTGGTTTGTCCGCTGCTGGCCCTTGAACCCGATGCATTAACGGGCACGCCTCCACCATGTACATTCATTATTGGCATTATTTTAAGCTTAATTGTCTAACAACAATTATAACTATAATAATGAAAGACGCTGCTGTCACAGACCTGGCCTCGGCCTCGCTGTAGCGCTATATATCTAACTGTAACGAGAGTCCTTGAATCATCTCTCGAGCTACACGGCATGATAATAATACGAGTTCCTTAACTGCAGGTAATCTGCATCCCCAGTCTCGAGGAGTCCCGGGTTAGGCGTCCCAAGCACCTGGAACTTAGGTAAAATAGGCAGCCTGACATCAGTTGTAACGCACTTTCCTGCCGCTCCTGATGCAAGGCAGCATAGCATGCCAGCATAATCAACCCCCCGTCTCCTGAATACACGAACACTGTAGACAGTTCGCAAATAGTCCTGCACGCGTGCAAGCTGCCTTGTAATGCCAAGTAGATGACCCATGCTGCCGCTGGACTCCCGATGCACGAAGTGGAACTCGCTTATGGGACAGACCTAAGTTTTGCTTCGAGATAGAGCCGTGCTTTCCATATTGAACAGGAAACCCAGATGCAGAGGGACAGATTTGTAGGATAAAGCACAGCCTAACCGTAAACTAGCCCCTTTGAAGTGGTCCTGGCGAATAAAACGTGAGGTATGGGGCGCGCATTAGCCGACTTCAAACCCCTCAACCACACCACGAAATGGAAGAAGCTTACCATTTCCACAATATGGCCAGTACTAAATGTTTGCAGGTTCCAAGTTGCCATTGATAATGGCTTTGCAGTCGCCTTTATTAAATCTCAATACCTGCCGGCGATAGCCGCATGACTGCAAACACTTCTGCATTTGAACACTAAAGGACACCTGAAGGCCAGTGGTGGATGCAGCAACTGTCGACTTCAGATTTGAGCTGTGACACATTAAAACCAGTACTTCTTGACACCGGTCAGAAGAAAGTAAGTGTAAATGTCCAAAAGTCTTTGTTGTCTCTGCAAACAGCTAGCCTCGTGCATGACCCGGAAGCCTCCACCATAATTTCACTGTACACGCGCACGGTAATGCAAAAGTTCTTCTTTATTGAGCGGCACTAAAACAATCTCATGTAGGAGCTTCTCTTGCCGGCTGTTTTATGAGCAATATAACAAAAAAATCGAAGCAAGAGCTAGAGCAAGGTATATGGATAGCAAGCAAAGGAAAACAAACGCGAGGAAGGGTCGGTGGTTAGCGGTATCACGGTTGCTTGCTACACATGCTAAAGGTCGTTGGTTCAGTTCCCCGACAGCCTATAACATTCTTTTCCTAGGAACGACTTGAACAAGTTAGCCTTACCTGACCTTGCGTTGGCACGCTCTTTGTTGTATTCACCATTATAGCACAAATTTAAACCCCTATTGTGCACCTGCTTCCAACTGCTGCGTTTCATGTCGTCTATTTGTTTTATTCCGTTTGGTTCCAACCCAGTCTTGTGCCTGAGTTTCCTACGGATTTCGTTGTACTGCAGTTCCTTGTCTTCTTGTGCAGCAGTGGCTCATTACAAGTTTTCTGTGTTCCTGCTTGTCTTCTACTGCAGTTGTTTATTATGGTGCATGCGAACTCTTCACGAACTCTGGGGGCAGAGGCCTTCCAGTTGAGTCATGCCGATGGTTTAGGGCTTCGCACAGCCTTCACGAACTCGGCAGGATGCAGCTTTACTGCAAGGGTTTACAGTTCGTACCCTTACGCAGGGTGTACAACCACCCGCTGTGAGCGACAATAGAGCCAGTCCCACTACAGCCTGCATCTGAACTGGCTAGCTGGCCAGTTAACCAGGGACGAAGATGTAGCCTCATGGTGCTTCGCTAGCTGCTGTGGAGACAGCACCGCGACGAATGGTCGGAGTCTCAATGAGCGGCACAACATTATCTCCCCGGAAACTGCTCTACGACAAACCCTGCTAGCTGTTTTGGCTAGATAACTGGTTATTATGGATAGCTAGCTAGCCATTCTCACTTTTGAAGCCGAACCTATCCGCTCAGATTATCTGCAGACAGCTGCTGCTGCCGCGTTGTGCTTGTGTGCGGATAAACATCGATGCATGCGTTAAAAAAAAAAGTACAGTTTGTGGCCTTGCGCGTACAGGGTAGCCCTTCTTTGCAGGATACCACATGCGAGATCCAACCGAGCTGCAAGCACTGCTATTCCGTTTGTAACAGTAGCAGCAGATGTGCCGACGTCAGAAACCGTGAAAAAAGAACACAGTGCCGCACTCGGGGCACTCCTTTTCCGGGGGAGCCCTGTCAAGACAAACATCCGATATGTCCAACCAAATCTCTTCGCCGCAGCGACAGGAACAAACATAATGTTCTGGGGTCACCTCCTCCATATCTCGTAAGTTCACAGACACACTGTGGCGCTCACTGCCTGTAAACACCAGCGTACAGCATAAAATTAGGTGGCTTTGGGACTGTAATTGTTGATCCCCTCTGCTGGATTAATTAAAACCATAAAAAATTCAAGAATAATTCAACACGTACACACAACTCAAGTAGAATTATATCCATAGCTCAGCAAGCAAGCAAACAACAACAAACAGTAGCTACTGCCCAAATTCAAGTGTGTATACGCAGCAGAAAGTGAGAGCAGAAGCAGGAATATTTGCGTTTGGAAGTATCAGCATGGTGGACAAATAAATAAATGTGCCAACGTTACTTAAACGGAAGGCACAAGGCACAAGGCAAAGGAAGGTTATACAACAACAAAATGGGTGTCTGTACACTACTTTTGCAGCTGCCCCTGCTGCAATTAATCCCTATCTCTATGCTCCTTCTGTTAGAGCGTTTGCTGCTGGGTTTGCTATCCTGCTGCTGTTGCTGCTTCCGCATCAGGTGTTGCATGTGCTGCTACACTACATGATGCTGGGACTGCACTTGCTGCTGTTACTGGGCCTGCATCTGCCGATTCCATTTGCCTATCTTTTATACCCTCTAAAGCGAATAGAACATCGACAGCTACATCACACTCGGCCCCTCAGCAGCAGCACAAACATATGAAACAACAGTAATTATACGGTACAATACAACTGTCTACACCAGAAGAAACTGAAGGACGCATTCCTCTCCTGCTCACGCATATGCTCTAGGTCTTCCTCCCATCTTGTCTGCCCGGAGGTCAGCTTTCTATACGCCTCTAACACATCCACAAAAGACAGATCTTCCAAATCTCCGTGAGGGACCCCTTCCTCTTGTGGGGGACTACTAGTGGCCTCCGAGGGGAGATCTGACAAAGCCGTTCTCGAGGCAGTTGAGACTGTCTCATTGGGAGCCCCGGTGGGGGTTCCTGCCGAGGTTGGTGGCTGAGCTCCTCGACGTGGTACACCGGTTGCAGGCTCGGTAGAGGTCCCTTGGGCCGGTGTTGAGGGCTTCTCTGTTGCTGAACTTGGGCTTTGCGCGGTTTTGTGTTGCTTATCAGGGTGACATAAGAGTACCTTTTGCCTGAAGGCCTTTTTTATGGTTGTGAATGAGGCGTCTCTGCTCACGCCCAATACAGTGTATGGGCACCTGTGCCGACGGGAGGAGGGAACCACAGGGTCATCGGGCATCCTAAGTGGTTCTAATTGCGTTTCACTGCTATATTTCTTCTGATGAAAGGCGGAAACCTAAGCTCCGTCATGCCTCACAGGCAAAGCATTGAGTGAACAGCCCAGTCACCCAGCTGGCATTACGTGAATCTCTACCCTGCGCTTGTTAAGGGTTTAAAAACGCAGGTTTCTTAAAAATCCCCCTTGCGCACCTGTTCGCTACAAGGCCTGCGTCGGGCTGGTTAGACAGCCCCACGTCCTATGGGTGGAAGGCACGGGTTGACCATTTGACAGCAAAAATTGTCCAAAACCTCCCTATTTAATGCTAAATATTCTTCATATTGTGCTTTATGACGAATTCACGTGCTAGGGACTTAAAGGAATTCCTATTGCAGTGCTCGTGCACTACAAAGCATGTAGTGAACAGCGAGGCTATTACGTGTAGTAGCTCCGATATATACGAAAAAAGTGTTGTACTCTCGGCGGTTTCTTAGTTTAGTTGTACTCTCGGCGGTTTCTTAGTTTAAACTCAACGAATTCTCCCTAAGTGCCCTTCTAAGAAATAAATTAACAACCATTAAAACGGATTCGAATACAACTTAAGTTGTCAAAATCAGTAGTATCCGGACACCCATATTGCACCCTAAGGTGTGTCGTAAGTCCTCCACATAAAAGAAGTGGAATAAAATAGTTAGTATAAATCTCTTTAGGTATTAGACTTTAGGTGAAACAATCCGCTAAGCAGATACATTGAATGTGGGGCCTCGAGGGCTTTGACCTGTTGGACCTTACAAAACAACAAAGGGTTGTGCATAATCTGTGAGGTGCACGCAGGCGATGCTAGTATCTGTAAACCCTAGATAGCCCTACTACACAAAGAGCAATCAAGCAAAGGTTTCAAGAGGTGTGAAAACTGTTCATTCATAGCCGCAAGAAACCGTATCATGCTTCCTTGTGGTGCCTCTTGCACCTTGCACACTTGAGTAGTGCGGCAGGGTGTCTTGTGTCCCAAGGTAGGCTGTAAGGGAGATATATCATCCCTCAGCTCCAGATGCTCCCGCTACGCCTGCAGACTGTGAAGTTTGGACAGTTGCATTTAATGGCTTCTCCTCATCTAGGTGGCCCCGACCTATCCTCTTTCTGTTCATGCATGCATGCAACAAGTACTCCAGGGTAGCCAGTTTTGGTTTTGCATAGAGACCCAAGGATTCGTCAGCCTCATCCCACGTTGGATGCTGCGTCCGTTAGGCTTGTGTAATGCCAAGAAATACCTCTGTTGTTAGCGCAAAGCAATAAATGACAGCAGGCTCTACTTAGCTGCTAGTTACCCCTCTCTCCTGTACGGCAGTAAAACCCTTAGTATACTGTTTCCTACCCCTCTTTCCACAACGGCAGTAGACCCTAAACCCTAAAACTCTAACATGATGCGTAGTGAGCTCCCTGTGATTGCCAGTGCATCCAAAATTGGCAGATTCATCCATCACCCTGCTCCTCTTCATCTCGTTAAAAAAATCCTTTACGTATCCGTTGCCTAACCAGTTCCCCATAGAGAAAACTATAGCCTATAGTTTCGTCTAAGTACTTCAAGTTTATATAATTGTGCTGAACTTGCAAAAGACCCCATGAGCTAGCTACCACACCTCACCATCCACTTTTGTTTTGCCGTTTGCTGCAGAGGGTTGTATTCATTTTTCTGCCTTGTTGTTGCTTCTTCTGCTGCAGTAGAAAGATGTGCTCTGCGCTCATCTTCCGGTTGTACCGATGTAAGTATCACGAGGGCCCTCTTATTTCCCCTTCAGAGATCCAGTATACACTCTATGATATCCATCCTAGTTAACCGATGTTTCCTTGCAAGGTATATATTATTTATATTATTTTTCTGCAGCGGTGAAGTCATTATACTCTATTGCTGCGGATATTGTATGGACATCGCAGGGGAACAACTGATACGAGGAGGGGTGAAGGGGGAACAAAAAAGAGAATCAGTTCCTTATGGTACCTGCAGTGTTCCTTTGCAGGGACACTGCAGCATCAGCAGCACCACCAAGGAGTGTTGCTAATGTTAGTGTTTCACTAGGGGTAATGTGCAGAGGTAACTGCTGGCTGTTGACTGTTCCAGCCGCAGATACTGCTGTTGGTTGCGGCTGCTCCTCAACTGCAGTAGAGTTTGTTTCGTTTTTTCTCCATCTCCTCTGCTTAACTCTCTTTTGTTCTTTTTAGGGTTTTTTTGTCAGGGTTTGCAGGGAGGGTTTACGCGACCAGGTTTACCAGGAGACAAGGGGAGAGTTTATGCATGAGGGTCTACCTGTGTGTCATTATAAGGAATATCTGCAGTGCATATACACCTGACACAACCTAATTTATCCATAGACTGTAAAACATATGCCGCTAACACCAAAGCGTGTTACCCTGTAAACCCTGTAGTATGCTGGGGTGTCTGTATACACCACATACTGTCAGTGGATACACACACAAGAGTTAGGCTGCGCTGCAGTGTGCAGACACTCCAACTTTGTGCTGCAAATGGCTAGGAAGAGCCGCTGTTGCTGCTGCTGCGGCTACGGCTTTTGCTGCTGCATCTGCAGCAGAGAACGGCAGTGCCGTGGGGTTTAGAGAGAGAGAGAGACTAGCGAGTAAGAATAGCAGCCTGCCGCATGCCGCCTAGGGTTTAGGGTTTACAGTTTATGGCTTCGGTATGGTGTTTAACTTTATGAAGATAAAGGTGGAGTTTTAAGCAGCAGCGGCAACAACAACAGCAGCAACATTGCTGCCACCGTGCTGCAATTGCGCAGGGATGGTACCAGAGCCAAGGGTTTAGGGCTTAGGGTTTATGGTAAGGGATTAAATGGACCGTTTTTCTTGTTTTTTATGATTAATAATATTTAAAAATTCCCCTTAAAGACAAGAGGCAAGCCGTATTGCCTTCAACAACAGTTTGGGGTCGGGTGGATGATGTACACTTGGAGCCCCCAGTGTGCTACAAGTTCTAAACCCTATACCCTAAACCCTAAACCCTGTAGCAAGATGTTAGCGCATCCTGTTTTTGCCTTTCTCCCGTAGGATTTGCCTCCGACTTACTCCCGAACTTCTAGCTCCAGACGTTAAACCCTAAACCGTAACCGTAAACCCTTTTAGGCTTCCTCGTGGCTTCAGGATTTAGCGGAAACACGCGCCCCACAGCGGCTTCACTCCCTTCCCATTTATTTTTCTGTCTCTTCATTTCTAGGGTTTAGGGTTTGGTGAATGCCCCCACACAGGTTAGCGTCGCAGCAGACTGGGGCCCCCTGCAGCAGCAGCATCATACAAGCAACAATAACAGCAGAAACTGCAGCAGCACCAGCAGAAGTAAGGCAATTTACTCCACCCTAGCAGCAGCGGGCTACGCTGCTGCTGCTTCTGATGCTGCTACTGCTGCTACCGCTGCTCCAGGAGGACCGAAAGCTGCAGTCCGAGCTGCTGCTGCAGCCGCCGGACGCGGTGCAGCAGAGGAGCAGCAGAAGCAGCAACAGCAGCGGCGGCGGGATTGCACGCTATGCTCTTTACCGCCGCCCCACGCGATCTTTTCATGCAACTCAGCGACCTTGAGAGCCAACCGGACCACCAGCAGGAAAGGCAGCAGCAGCACCAGCATCAGCACCAGCAGCAGCTGCAGCTGCAGCACCAGCAGCAAGGTCACATGTTAGCTATGAGCGCGGGAGCAGCAACTTTACGGGGGCATGAGTATGTCACGAGGCAGCTGCTACAGCCGCAGACGCCGCTGCAGCAGCAACACCTGTTGCAGCCGCCGTCGCCGCCGCTGCAACAGCAACATATCGATGAAACCCAGCTGAAGGAGAGGCGGGAGCAGCAGCAGCGCAGCCAGAAACTGCAGCAGCAGCAGCAGCGTGCGCTTAGCGAACTGCGCCGTCGCATCGTTGCAGGCAAGCGCCACCGATGGTTGCTTCCCCAAGAGCCACCTCCCAGCAGCACCAACAGCAGCAGCAGTAGCAGCAAACCCGCGCAGCTGCTGAAGTTGTGTGACTGGGGGGAAGCTGCCTTCTACTACTGGGTCAATGCTCAAGGGGGGCCCCTGGGGGCCCCCCCTCCTTTAGACTTCCCTCGGCGTACGCCCATAGCGGCGCTGCTGAGGAGCAGCAAGGCGTCTGTTGCAGCAGCAGCAGCAGCTAGAGATGCAGTAGCTGCAGCTGCTGCTGCTGTTGCAGAGGGACGCCCACCGCCAACAGGGGCTCCTCCAACGTGTGAATTTCCGTCGGCGTTGGTTTATCATGCGTTGCAGCAAACTGCAACAGCAGCAGCCGAAGCGGAGGCACCCGCAGCAGCAGACTGCAGCAGCGGCAGCAACATGGGGAATGTGGCTCGAGAATTGCTGAAGTTTCTGCCGCGCTGCTACAGAGTGTATTGGGAGCATGATTGGGAGCCCCTGGACATGGAGCCTGGCAGCAGCAGCAGCAGCAGCAAGGCTGAGGACATTGACACAACAACCAGCAGCGTCCGCAGCAGCAGCAGCACGTCTATGCCATGCACATCTTCTGCTTCCTCCACGTACAACACCGCGGACCCCGACAGCAACAGCAGCACCACCACCGCTACCAACAACAGCAGCAGCAGCAGCAGCAGCAGCAGCAGCAGCTTATTTCGCTGTGCTGTGCAGCTGCTAGATGTCTGCGGCTCCTTAGGAGGCGCATGCGTTATGGATTTAAAGATCGGAAGACAAATGCATAGTGACGCATCAGACCCACAAAAAATTAAACGCATGCAAAAAAAGGCAGCTAATCGGTAAGATTCTTGTCAACCCTAAGCCCTAAACCCTCATACGATGATAACGAGCAAAGAATGCTGGACACGAAAAAGGGCACAGCTGCTGTTGCTGTTGTTGTTGCTATAGTATTTAGTCTTTAGTAGTTAGTTCCGTTGACACTAATTCACCACTTCTCTATACATCTCCACGATTTAGCTAGGGTTTAGGGTTTATTAGGGTTTTGTGTTTACTAGGGTTTATGGTTTTAAATGTTTTTTTTTTGCTGCAGCTCATTTGGAACTCACGGCTTCGCTGTCTGCGGAGTGGCGGCGCCTTGTGGGACGCGACCGAGGGGATCATCACCTGCTACTGCAGCAGCAGCACCAGCCGTAGCAGCAGAAGCAGTAGTACTACCTACTGCTGCACCGACGACACCTGCTGATGTTTCTGTTGCACCTGTTGCTTCATCTGCGTTATCTGCTGCTGCACCAGTTGCAGCTGCTTCCACCAGCACAGCAGGTGCAGCATTAGTAGCAGACAACGCTACAGCAGCAGGTGCAGCAGCAGGTGCAGCAGCAGGTGCAGCAGGAGCAGTAGCTGTATTCCCCCCTCCTATGTCTTTAACGTTAGCGCCTGCTGCGGCGCATGCACTAAAGACAGATAAGGCTTTTAGGTCTCTGTTTGCTGCATTCTTTGGTGTTAATGGCAGCAGGAGCTTAACGCTGCGGTTGCTGCAGCGCTGCATGCAGCTGCTGCTGCCGATTGTCTCCTTCTTTAGCTGGCAGTCCCTTCTTGCCTTCCATGGATCTTCTCTCCTCCTCGTATACGATGCAGACCCTCCACCTCCTGCAGCTAAGTGCAGCCGCTGCAGCAGCAACAGCAGCAGCCGCAGCGGATATAGCAACAGCAGCAAGACGAGCGGGAAGAGTGGATGCACCCGCAGCAACAACAATGCGCAGCAGGGCACCAGAAGCAGCAACAGCAGCAGCGGCGAGTGGTGCTGCCAGCAAGGAGCTGAAGATGCAGTAGTTAATTCATTGTCTCTTTATATGGTTGATTTTGCTCATGTGTCTTTGCTGCCTGTACACCCCAGAGATGAGGGGTATCTCTTTGGCCTTAATAACCTGCAGCGGCTGCTGCAGATGGTTATTGATGAACTGCAGCAGCAAACGCAATAATAGGAAAGGCAGCAGCAGCAGCAGCAGCAGCAGCACATGCTGCTGCTGCAGCAGCTGGAGCTGCACATGTTGCGGTTCCACCGTTGGATGCTGCTGCTGCGCTGCCGCGTTTTCTTTTTTGCTGCTGATGAACGTACATCTGCTGCCCCGTCGGGTGTGGCGTCGCCAGCAGCAGCAACAGCAGCAACGGTAACAGCAGCAGCTGCTGCAACTGCAGCAGCAACTGAGGCAGCAGCAGCAACCGCTGGCAGCGACTGGAAATGCAGCTTTTGACGACCTCCCGTCGGTGCCCGAAACAGCAGCACCAGCAGCAGCAGCAGCATCAGCTATTGCTGCAGCAGATGCGCTAATATAAGCAGTTGCTGATTTTTGTCCTCTTGTTTGGTGCTGCTGCTGCTTATGTTGCTGCTCCTTTCTTGAAGCAGTGCATGCATTTTTTTTTGCATGCATTTTGCTGCTGCTGCCGCAGGATGCTGCATCTGTGGGCGCTGCTGCAGCAGCAGGATGCTCCAGCTCCAGCGTGCTGCTGCAGCAGCTTTCTGATGCTGCAACTGGCTGCTGCTGCAGCCTTATGCTGCTGCTGCAGCTTTCTGTTGCTGCAACTTGGTGCTGCAGCAGCGTTCTGCTGCAGCTTTCTGCTGCTGCAGGAGTGTGCTGCTGCAGCAGTTTTGTGTTTGTGTGAAGTTGTTTATGTCTCTGTCCCGTTTTGTTTACTATATATTAATGTTGACAGTAAATAGATAATTAAAAAGGGAAAAATAAACAAAAAAAGAAACAAAAGATATGAAGAAAAAAGGAGAGAAGCGAAACAAAGATAGAAAAGGAAAAGGAAGAGCAGCAAAACGCATGCATGCAGCAAAAGACGATAAGGTATACAAATAACAGTAAACAGCGAGATGAACAAAATTGAATAGAAAAAGGTAAAACAGAAAAAAAACAAGCAAAAGGAGAGGCAAACAAATAGGTGTCTTTTTATCTTTTTTCTTTATTTTTGCCTTCAGGTGTATACAGTAGCAAATATAAACTTGCATGGTGTGTGTTTGTTTCTTGTTTACATGCTCCATGTATTATTTATTTTTATATTTATATCTGTTAATGTGTGTACTAATACACATATATATATACATATGCTATATATGTATATATATTATATATGTATTATGTATATATATATATATATATATATATATATTAT